TGCACACACAGACAGATCACAGTCCTAGTGAGAAAGGGTTCTTTTGGGCCAATTATCTTCTGAACTGTCAGCCGGACCTTTATACCAGTCCAAGTAATTTCTGTTGTGTTTCTGTAATAAAGGACTTGTACCACTCTAGGGAAAACATAGAAAACTGTGTGGGTGCCTTGGCAGACAGGGATTTAAAAATATCTGTGGTTTGTGTGGCTTTATTGAATAAAATGTAGGATTTTCCACCCTGTGGTTTAAATTTCCATGTGCTGGAGTTTGTAGAATTTGTTTTTCTGAAATGTTACTTATGTCTAAAATCAAGCCCTTATGATTAGTTGGGGCTGGCAGGAATCGACTCAGAGAAGTGATAATGGATGCTCTGGAATTGTTGAGGCACCCCAGAATAGACAGTTCAGTAGTAAGATATGTTTTTTTCAAATGTAGCCAGTTCAAATTTCTTCTAGGCACTGAGTGATGAAGGGTGATACTTTTCAAATGCTGTTACCCTCACATGCCTGGTTGGTGACATGTGAGGAAAGGAGTGATATGTGGGTTGGGAGGTTTGTTAAGTACCATCACGATGTACTGGATACCCTTTTGAAGTTCCTGGCCAAAATCTGAGGGCGGTTTAAGCTGCTGCTTTGGTCAGTCTGCTGGGAGTGGTTTGACGCATGTGACTATGAGGAGTCCCATGCAGTGTAATGCATCTGTTTAGTGCTGTTCATTGGCTATGAAAAGTGAACCCTGATTTTTACGGTCATCTAGATGTCTCATGAGTACTGAGTGCAAGCATCTCATATACATCGCTGCTTACTCCAAAAGCAGGAGAAGAATTAATGTTTTAATGGCTAAAATTAAAAATCAGACTAGTGAACTATGACAAAATAACAAGACATCTTATTTTGAAAGGTACAGTACTGTATGTTTAGACCTAGCATGGTTTTGCTGTCATTTGAGTACCAATACGCTTATCTTAAACCACTTTTTAAGATTGAAGGACCTTAAATCCACATCTGTGGATGTCTCCTCACTAATACCAGTGAGCGCTGCAGATGGTGCTTTTTTTGCAATAGATCTTGTTCTCAGTGGCTACCTTGAATGCGCAGGTCATGGACAGCTTGGGAAATGTGATCAACACATCAGAAAGGATGCTATTTTGTTACAATAAAAATAACTAGATGAGAAAAAGGTCTTCTAAAATTAATTCAGTGAATGAATCAATAGTCAATTGGACTTACAAATTTCTTAACTATATTCTGTAATCTGGTTTCCCCCTATAAAGAAATAAATAAATCTATCTCCCTCTGGTTTAGAAAATTAAGAGTGGTTCATGGAAGGTCTGGATAGGTATGAGAGACAACACGGTGGAAAAGGGCAGATGTTTAGGAGTGGGAGAAGAGGAAGGGAGGAGGTGGACTTCTGAGAAGTGACTGGCTTTGTACTTGTGTAAGAGCCCTTTCCTCTCTGAAGGGGGAAAGGCATGCCCTTGAAGGAAGCTTTTTGTTTAAACTTCTTTTGAATTAGTTCTTTAAATTGTAAGAATATATTTTTAACGGAAGAAGAAATCTGGAAGAAGCTTTGAAAACTTATATGACAAAAAAAATAGTTTGCATTGTGAGGGTTTGTCAAAATGATCTTAAGGATGGCGGTTGTGTTTACTTTCAAGGCATCTTCTTTTAAGCTAATCCCTAGTTGACTGACTTTTCAAGACACTGCCAAGAAGGGCATGTTGGAGTTCAGTTGAAGATTTGCTGTTATGGGTGAGGTATTTGGGTTGGCAATCATTCATTTTAATTCTTTAATAGTTGCCAGTGCAATATATGATTGTCATCACTGGAAACGGATGCTGCTTCTGTACAGTGATAAAGAACAATAAAATGTCTTCCCAGTGTACTACTGTCTTCTTTGATCAACCAAAATATTCTTAATTTCCAAGTGATCTTGTTGCTGTCCAACTGCTCCTTTTGGTTACTGTGTCTCATGTGCCCTCTCTGCAGTGCCAAGCTGGTGGTGGTTTGAAACCTCTTTCCTCCCATTGTATGCGCATAGCCCACTGCTTTGCTGAATTTTGAATCAACTAAATGACTTGACTTTCTTGGTTTCCTACTCATGCTCCATTTATACATCTACAACCTCCGACAAGCTGTTGCAATGAAGTTGAGTTTGAGGGTCCTTCTGCCTCTCCATGCCATGCCTAGGGGTTAAAGCTCTGTAGCACAGGTCACAGAGGTGAGCATCAGCCAATTCTGCTGCCATCCCATTTGATATGTTGAGGAGGTGAAAACATTGCACCTCACCCTTACAGGGCAGAAAGATTTGCTCTCCTGTTCCCTTTTGAAGTTAGTGACAAAACTGTGGCTTTGAGAGCTGCAGGAGCCATCTAATATGTCCCTTTTTTTTGGAGAGCAATCTAGTCAATGTTAGTAGTTGGTGGGAAAAGAGATGCCCGTGTCAGGCAGCCACCGCTCTGGTTGCATCTGTGCTCATCGGAGAGACCGACCAACAGTGGAGCCTTTCCTGGTTTGGTAATTACAATTATTTGGACTCTGCACAGGGAACACAGTAATGTCTGGCTTCTAAAATGATGATTTGACATAGCTACTTACTCCTTTTACAAATGTTTTATAGTAATCTGTATATTTATATGGCCTGGGAATTTATCCATAATTTATCCATTATAAGACCTTTTAATAGTTCATTAATCGAAGGCTTTGGCAGACAAAAGAGGAAAAAAATTAAACTTTCTTTTTTTTTTTCCTCTTTTTTTTAAGGAAATGTCAAACTTCTCTCTTCTGTGTTTGAACTACTACTTCAATGTAAGATGAGAGATAAAGATCATAATATTTTGACAATCATTGTCAGTGTTTTCTGCAGTTTTCATTTTGACTAGTCCACTGCATATATTTAAAGGCTAGTATTGTAAGGATAGCGAAAATATAAATTATATCGTACTTCTTTCATTCTATGTGCTTCCCAAAAGTAAAAACTTTTCTTCATGAATTAATTTATGCAATTTTACCTTAGTTCCTTTTTATATGCTGCATAGGTGTGTGTGTGCTTGTAAGAACTTCTAGCTCTGTAAAACAGATGTGGTTTTATGTATTGAAAATTAGGTGTTTAGTAAAAGAATTTTACACAGTCCTTCCCAGTCTGGGGTAGCTGTCACTGGTCTGGATTTGTAAAGTAGTATTGAGAGAGTATCAGATACACTGGGCTGTAGAGTCATTAAAATAACTTTTCTACATATAGAAGGTATAGTTGTGGCTGGTGATATTAAAGGCATTTTTTTCAGAGTTGTTCTCATCTGTTGTCTCTGGATCTCAGTCGGATTGTCTGCCTTATTAATTCCCCTGCAGTTCTTTTTATTTATTGGCCTGAATGAATATAGTATTAACCATGAAGTGACACACTTCTGCTTTTGGTTTAACCAAATAGTGAATTAAATCAATATGCAAAACTGTCTCCTTGTAGGAGTTGTTTTTATCAAGGAAATCTTAACTGTTCCTTTCAGTTTAATAATAATTGTGAAGACATTTTACTACTAATATTAGTTTGTTTTATTAATTCGTTGTAGCAATTTTGTTAGTGTTGTGAAAGTATTACTGTGATTCTTTATTTAGGTTGGTTCAATCTTTGGTCCTTCACTACTGAGTATCATATTTAAACTGAATGGAAGTTGGCATTAAACTCCTTAATGACTTTCATACTTAATTCATTGGAGAGGTTTGGCTCAGTGTTGCTTTTGCTTACGTTTATTTTAAAAGTGCCTTTATGCAAGTATTTCAAAGATTAAGGCTTTTCTAAGTGAAAAAATAAAGTTTTAAGATTGTGGCTTGTATTAACTTTTTTTTTCCCCTTGGCAAATCTTCATAAGATTAGTGAGCTAAAGTTTACATTGTGTATAATTGCAGTAATAATATCCAGCTGTTTACCCTTACGTGTAAATTTGCTGTTTGTGTATATTTCATACAGTATGGACTCATACTGTCTGTTTGTATAATACAGGTAAATTTTGTAAACCTGTCTTAGAAGTTCCTTCCTGAGTTTTTAGTAAGCCTTTAAATCAGGATGGAGAAGGAATTCAGTACCTTGTGATTGAGCAACATACTCTTTTATAGATCTTTTTTAGTGGTTGGCCAGTGATTTATTGGAACAGCCAAATACAAAAATCTGTTCTGTGTTATTTTGGCTTGGCAGAAGTAATGCAAAGAACTGTCAAAGGCAAAGAGTATGCAGAAGCTGTAATTTCCTTTTTACCACTGAAGAATAGATTTGGCTGGATTATGCCTTCAATGTTAATCTACCTCTGTGTGGCCAAACAGATTTTTGGAACCTTTTTGCAGCGTATTTATTTTCTATTTGCTTCAGGCCAAATTTTATAATGTCATATATTTTTTTGGCACGTGCAGGGTGGTGATGTGATAAAATTTAAAGAGAAGGAATTGGAGTTCAGAACTATGAGCTAGACCATTCAAATTGAGATTGCCACTTGATGCAGTTAGGTCATGGCTAGCAATACTTGTATGCTGAAGTGTGGATTTTTTAGAAAAACAATTCTGCATCTTGCTTTAAAATTAAGGATCATATTTAAAACTCTTCAACAGTTCCAAAATAATATATTGTGAAATTTTACCACAGTTTTATACTCTTTTAGTTAATTCGGCTGACTATTTAAATAAGCTTAATGTCAGTCTTCCTTCTACTGGTCAGCATGTTTTTCTTTCTACACTATATTAACAAAAAATCCATTTCCTCTTTCGATTGTAGTAGCGCCACACTCCTTGAGCCTTCTGTCTAAGCTAATGATTAGTAACATTTCTGTCTTGAAGCAATAATTTGATATGTTTAACGTAATATCCATTCCTTCTTTGCTTGAATATGTTTAAACATCTTCATTATTTCACAATGATGGACAGACATACACATGCTGTACGTGCTTCTTTCTTTGGCTTTTAGTTTAGAACAAAGCAGTTAAATACCTCTTTCTACTCTATTTTCCTGCCGTACAGATGACAGCATCTCAGCTGCGAGTACGTCTGATGTCCAGGACCGTCTTTCAGCCCTGGAGCTGAGAGTACAGCAACAAGAAGATGAAATCACTGTGCTAAAAGCAGCACTGGCTGATGTGCTAAGGCGTCTTGCTATCTCTGAAGACCATGTAGCTTCTGTGAGAAAATCAGCACCAAGTAAAGGTAAACCAATGTTTGCTAAGCTTTTTCTAGAGTCAGAATGTTGTGATTTAGAATGTTCTCCCCAAATCATTTCCTTTTTCCCTTTTCTATCTCATTTGGAAAGGCAGGTATGTTTTGAGCTGGAGGGGTTAGTTTTTCAGGAGTGGCTTTATAGCATATGCCTAATAGATATCTGAAATATGTTTATCAGTTTTGCTGTTTGCTACGTTTTGAGGTACTTAACATCCCTGAAAATTCACTTTACTTCTCGTTAAAAGGTTTCTGTTTTAATTTAAATACTTTACAGTGAAATGCTTTACAGCTACAGTCTTTAACCTATCACTAGGGGTTCTGGGGCTTATGAGCAGCTCTGAATGTCGGCTTTGACGTCACCCAGAAGTTACTCAACTGAAGACCTGTATTAGAGGCTACATTTCCTCCCTACTTACTCCTAAATTAAAAAACAAAACAAAACTAAACAAAAACTATAAAACACATTGTCACCAAATCAGGAAATTTTCTGAATGTAGTTAATTTTTCTTCCTCTGCAGACATAACTCATCACCAATAGGTTTCTTGTAAGAAGTGGCTATGCAGCCCCTCAGCAATATGTCTTTTGCCCAGTGGCTAGTAACTTTTACATTCTGACTTTGAAATATATAGGATTGTTTAAAAGTAAACAAACTAGATGCTTTTTGCACTAATTTTTACGTACTTTTTTTTTTTTCTAATGAACATTTCGTTTTCTATTCTGGAGAACTATTTGAATCAAGTTATTTTAATTTACTCCAACTTGAAGTTGTGTATTCAGAGAGCACTACGGCTACGTATGTTTGTGGTTCGTATTAAGCCTCTGATTAAATAAAAGTTTAGGTCATATTTCAGATAATTCACAGTTCTAATTCACCATAAATGCATGTATCCCCATCAAACCATGCAGCACAGCTTTCTGGGGTCAATCCCTGTATTTTTTCCTTGAAGTACACCCATTACGCCAATGCCAGTATAACGCTGAGCTGACACATCGTAGCCTATGTTTGTTTGGGAGGCTACGTTAAACAGGCTGAAAATACGGAAGCTGAAAATGCTGAAAGTTTGAATTATTTTAGATGTGGCAGAGAGATCAAATTCCTTAATTAAGTGTTTTTGCAGTCTCTCTGCCAGATGGAAGGAAGCGATGATGCTTAATTGGCTTGGGCTCTGAATCCTGCCATTCTCTGTTGCTTGCTAAATGTTAGACTGTTGTTATCCCTGCTTATAAATGCAACTTTTATCTACCTGATAAGCATCTCTGGCCTCATCAAGATTGAGACTTCCTTCTCTAACTCTGTGTAGATAGAGCTCTCGCAAGTATTTTGACTAAATCAAACTTTGCTGTCTGCTGGCCATTATGACAAAAAGAAAACATCTAAGTGGGAAAACCATGGGCAAAATGGATGCAACATAGGACCTTATTCTTCCTATTTAAATGCAGAGGAGCTGGGATATGCACTAACATGAATAAACACCTTTGTCTTGGAGCTGTCTAATACTCAGCAAATTCTGTGCACAGGCAGTGCAAACTTGCTGTGTTCTGCAAAATGCCTGAGGGCCATTTCCTTACTGGGACTCTGGGGGTCTTGTGGCCATACTGAGTTCTCCGGGGGAATGCGATCAGTGAAAAATAAATTATTTCCTTGGGGAAAGGGTGGAGTATCTAAGTATCTTCAGCTTTGTGCTATTTCATTGCTACCAATTAATGACAAGAGCATGTAACTGTGAAGAAAGAGATGGGGGCAAGGGCAGAGATGTACACATATGAACTAATTCATTGAACTTAAATGAGTTAAGACTAATTGGCACTGTATTTAATTCATAGTGCGTGTGTCCCCATTGTTTTCGGTTACCTAATACCAGCAGGCAACACGTTAACTTCACTGTTTATCACGAAATCAGCTGCCTATAGATGGTATAAAGATTTCATAAAAGAAAATGTTTGCGTACAGTCACTGGAATTTTATGCAAGTCTAAAATTAGACTTGACGAATGAGCTTGATATTAATATTGATTTAAACTTAAGTATCAATATTCTAATGAATATTTCAAAACAAGTTCTTACATAGCTTTCTGCAACACCTTAGGTTCTATTTTTGATTTCTGTATTTTAAATGGATTTAATAGACAAAGAACTCTTGAAATGTTTCAGGAAAGAGAAATGTATTATTTTTCATGAATGAGTAGGATTGGCAGAAGATCTGAATTGTCATACAAAAATAATATTCAAGGAAATCATTGTTCATTTTTCTTTGAAGTATTTTATGAGTACATAACAGGCTCTTACTAGTCAAGTCATGGTTGCTGCAAAGGTTATTGTACTTCTCCAAAACTGTTTTTGGTGTTCATGATCCTGTCAAAAATCTGGATTTCTGCATTACAACAATTGCAGTTTCATTATAGGTAGATTTTCTTTAAAAAAAATGCTGAGGCTTTGATTCACAGAAGTATTTGCCTCTACAGCAGCCTTCAAATATGTGCGAACATAAATAATGAGCAGAGGGAATAAATGTGTATATATTTCTGAATATGTTGAGAGATATGTTTAATTTGAAGTATGGCAACATAGTGAGATAAAAACTTTTAAAATAAACTGAACTTGCAACAATCATAGTACCGGAAAAAGCCAGCTTGAATCTTTCCATCAAACAAAAGAGTTTTAATCTGAGTAAGAGACAATATCTAACCTCATTTGAAGGAGTCTTTCCTACTTGCTGCTGAAATGAGTTTTCTAAAACCTCTCCGTTTTTTCTTGTTGCCACCTCAGCAGTGTCTTTGAAGAGAGATTTTTCATAGGCTAAAAATAAGTGTTGCGAACAGACTCTGAATCGTGCCAGAAGGGACAAATACTGATCACTTTTTCACTGATTTTTCTTATTCTGAAGTTGATAGCCAGCTTAGTGCAAAAAGAGATCTCTTCATCCTTTGTGTTAGTTTGTCTGCATTGCATATCTGGTGAGCTAATTCTGTTCTTATTTTTCTTAGCCCTTTATTTTAGATTGACAGATCGAATCAACCGTAGCTGAAGCTTATTTTTGCATTATCTGCGTAGTCTTTGTTTTTCTTTTTTCCTACGCTTCTGTTGCATGCTTATTTTCAACTTAGTCCACTCTTCAGTGAAAAAGTTCACACGGGCATGGATTAACTTTTATTTCTAACTCGTGGGCTATCAGTCAGGAGATTACTACCCATGATTTTCTCTGTCTTGCCCTGTCTCACAAGCAAGCTGCTCTTCATACAGGAGTAGGTGATTTGCAAACTCAGAGACTAAAGGGTGAGGTTTTTTAGCCACCTTAATGCCTCCTAGTAAAGCACGAAGAGGAGATACTGTGTGAGGGAAGCACCTGTAGTAAGATTTGCAACAGATAGAGCACTTGTCTGTTATCGCACGGTGAAAAACAGAATGAGAGTGTTCGCATGTGGCGTGTTTTCTTTCCTCTTTAGTATTTCTCAGTGCAAAGGCATTCTAAACAGAGAAAATCTTTTCAAAATAAAAAGGCTGCGATAGTACTTCTCTCTGCAGACAGCTAAGAATAACTACACAAAGGAGAAATTACCAGGTCCAAAGATAGTGTTGAGGATTCTTAGAAATGTGAAAGAGCTTGATTAGGGAACAGATCCTCAGCAGCTACAGGCTTTGGGAGGATCATAGCATGGGGGTGCATTCGTGGCTTCTTTGCCCCCTCCCTTCCCCCTTCTTTGCCCCCTCTCTCTTCTTCCTCTTCTCCCCCTTTCTTTTCTTTCTGAGTAGATGGCTTGGTAAGAAGAGTTTCTTCGGTGGGAAGTACTTTGCTTTTGGCAGCTCCACACTCTTGTTGCCACACGTCTCTGCTGTTGATGCATGATTGATGCTGTGAACATTCACAAAAAGTTCCAAAAACAAAGATTACCTGGACACTGAAGAAAAGGAAAGCATAAAGCAGTCTGGTACTTGCAGCTGCCAGCAAGATAGATTGGCTCACAGCTGGTGCCTGGTAAACCTATTAAAACCTTCCAGGGTGTCAAAATGTGTGTAACAGGAGAATTCATCCCTCAGGCTCTGGGTGTGGAGACAAGTTTGTGGCACACAATGGCACCAGTAAAATACCTCAGACTAATCGTATCACTGGGGTATGAGCTCTTGCCTGAAAAAGTGGCCATCTCCCAGAAAGTACCTCTGATGTCTGCCCGTAGAAAAACAGAGTTCATGTCCTTTTTCTGGACTCTGAAGTAATGAGGAGGCTTGTCACAGGTTAGACCTTTGGAGGAACATTTCCTGTTGCTTGGACAAGAATTGGTATCAAACAACCCATATGCAAATTCAGCTCACAAAGTGAAATTGAAGCAGTGGATGGCAGTTTGCAGAGAGAGTCTCCCATGACAGCACAAGCTGGCAGATCGAGAGGCATTTATTTTACTTAAAGCAGTGATCTTGGGGATCTGCAAAAGCAGCTATGTACTGGAAATGCAGATTTATTTATGGGGTTTTTTTTGCCTTTATGCAGTGAATTTTTGTAATAGGAAGCTGGAGAGTTTTCCTTGCTTTCCTGTTCCCTTCTCTGCTGTGAACTAGTGAGCCTCTTCGATGTCTCTTCAATAGGAAAAATCCTGAGTAGTGTTTTGCATCAAATTCCATCTCATTGCGCTAACATAAGCAAAGCACTTCAGATGTAATTTTTACCTTATCTCAACAATGGTTTCATTTCAATAGCATTAAGTCATTTTGTTTTATATTAACGAAAATTGACTTCAGGTGCTCGGCAAGCTTCATTAATGAAAGCATAAGATAGGCTTGCATTTGCGGTTTTAGTCTTAACGCATTTTAATGTGCACAGTTGTTCTAATGACTGGGTACATGTTTATGTTGTCTAAGCAGTAAATGTTAAAGGAACAGAAAACAGAAGTGTAGCTAGGAAAATGCTTATGGTAGAGGTAGGATGTAGGCTCTTGTCCACAATATTAAGACTAACCTGGCAAGCTTGTACGTCTGTCATTTTACTCATGGGGAT